TTACTACTTGGCTTTCGGTACCACTATGTAATGTAACCATTTTCTGATAGGTGAATTTGAACGTTCAAAAATGGAAACCATTTTTCTTTCGGCTTTTCTCGGGTGAACTTGATATACTCTGACTGTTCATTTAACAACTCGAAACATTTGTCCATTTCCTCTTGTGTTGAGCAAAGGACAAAGCAGTCGTCTACATACCTACAGTAGAGTAGCGGCACGAGATCAGTCACCGGTGCTTCCACCTTAGACATAAATGCAATGGCAAGGCTTGGAGCCAGTCGTTGTCCCATTGCCAACCCTCTTATTTGAGCGTAGTACTTTCCAGACCATTTGAAGATTGAGCAGCTCAAGCATTCTTTTAAGAGTGCCATCAGGTGCTCTATCCTGAAGCCATACATGTTTATTTCTCCTTCGTGTTGTGTAAGGAGTTCGAATATGGCTTGCATTGCGGAGCCATATTTTTCAATATGCAATGTATAGCGAATGCCGCATGTGACGCAATAGTCGGATGCGCCCTGCCCTACACACATAGGATTGATCCTAACGTCCGTAGCTCACTAAGCCTTCTATCCTTACCGGATTCGGCAAATTGATGTCTGGAAAGATAGCAGCACTGGCTCGAAACATCGGTGGCTGACTTAAAGGCTAGATATGCATTTAATCACCTCCAAACGGTGTTTAATGAAGTCGAAGGCATTGCGAATCCCTCAAGGAATGATCAAAACCGAGAACCTTACGCTTTTGTTTTGATGTAGAGTGAACGGGGCACTAGCGTTACCATTTGAAGTGCTTCAAACTTTGCATGATTTTGTTATAGATTTCCTATGTAGTGAGAGCAAATTGGCTATATATTTACTCCTTAAACTGGTTCCTATTTTGACGCGGTTTCCTTGCACTTATCTGCTAACGAAGGTGTTCACGCATGCCGTCATTCGAGTCGTCATTAAGTGTTAGGGATGAAGTTGTTCCGAAATTACTAACGCATTTCGGCCAGTGTTTTTCGCGGAGGATATCTCACTTAAGGTTAAGCTTTATTAATCGCTTCCAGTGCGGAAGAAACGCCGGCAATACCCCATAACGGAAATTTCTCTGTTTGCCAATCTACTCGTGCGGCATACATTTGCTGAGGTTCCTTGACCTCGCCGCTGTACTCCTGGGTGTTCTGAGACAGGTGGGAAGCTTATAGCAAATTCTTCTGGGCAATCCTTCAAAAGTGTGCATCTATATGCGAGCGAGCGGTGCAACCTCCACATCTTCAACGTCCAACTGGCTAGGATAAATTTTTCCAAACTAACGAAGCACTGTGGGTTAGTTAACCATTACTTGGACCCACCCCCCATCAATGCTTGTTGCACCGTCCGAGTGCGAACTCGTAGGAGTAGATCTGTCGAACGCTTTGACATCTGAAATTCCAACCGTTAGAGTTGGTGGAAATCACAGTTTATATTATGATTGGATTATCACCTACCACCTGTATCACCTATAGTCACTTTGACCTTCGAGTAACTCGAGCGGGCGCCAGTAATTCTTCCATTTTTCCCTGTCTCGTGCAAGAGTAGCCCAATGGGTTCTGCTCGCTCTAGGAATTCGTTGAGCATTATATCTTTCTTATAGGCTCTTCGTGAAGAACTATGACCATCGGGTCGGTGGTCTTCCTGCAATGCGCCTAACGTCTCCAGGAATCGAGCCACTAATGGAGGTCCCGTTAATGGGTTGTCGTTCATACGCATTGCGTGTCCGGCCCACCTCATCTTCGACTGTTTGGCGTACAGAACGGCATTTTTGATTCTTGATCGTTGACGCAGGTCGGAGATTCGTATCCCATCTCTTAATTGTATGGAACGGGATACTCCTAGCATCGTCCTTTCGACTGCGCGCTCGATAACGCTGAGTGATCTTTCGTCTTACCTAGGCAGCGATCAAGTTTCTGACACATATGTTAGGGCAGGATGAACTGTTGAGTCGAAAAGGTGGACAGGAAGTCCGGTGCTCCTTGTTTTTTTCACTACATCTTCGATGCTCTTGAATGCTCCCCAACCCACTCGTTTCCTTTTGCTCAGCTCTGGAGCTAAGTCGTTCATCATGTTCATTTCCCGACCTAGACAAACAAAACTGGAGCATTCAGAGATATTCGTTCCGTTGAGTGTGAATGTGGGATACAAAAACAAGCCGTTCTTCATGAACATCGTTTTTGTGAGATTTAGTCGAAGACCAATCTTTCCGCAGGCTTTATCAAAGTCGTCAAGCATACGTTCCGCTTAGCTGATGTTTGGTGTTATATGGACGATGTCATCAGCAAGACGAAGATGATGAAACTGGCGAACATCGATTTTCACTGTCATATTATCCCATTCCAATGTTCGCATGTCGTTCTCGAAGGTAGCCGTAAATAATTTCGGCGAGATGGCATCGCCTTGCCTAACTCCTCTTTTTACGTCAATGTTAATATCGTTGTAGAATGGTGATATCTTGGTTGTGAAATTTTTTTACAGCTTACGAAGAATCTTTATGTACTGAGTACGGAATCCTTGATTATGAAGGGCTTCCATGACTGCTTCAATCTTAATTGAATCAAAGACCTTCTGTAAATCGAAGAAAGTGAGAGAGAGAGCGGTCTTTTGTGCTCTCGCGATAGTTCAACGAGTCTTATAATCGTGTGGATGTGGTCTATGGCATTAAATTCTTTTCGAAACCCTGTTTGCTCACATGGCTGTCCTTTGTCTAATGTTCTGTCAATCCTGTTTAGGATGACCGAGTGAAAAGTTTATAGACGACAGACAGCAAGCACATTGGACGAAGGTTACCGACATCGCGTAGGTCACCCTTCTTGAGCAATAACACGATCGTGCTGGTGTTCCACTGAGCAGGGACCTTGCATTCGGACAGGTAACGTGTAAAGAGCCTAGCCAGTGTGTTTACGAGGGCAGGCGGAAGGTTCTTCAGGTGTTTAGATCTTATCCTGTCCAGAACTTGCTGTTCGATTTTTCACTGACGAAATAGTATATCGGATTTCGGGTGAGAGAACCGGTGGTAGACATGTGCATCTCCCGTTATTTTATATAAGGGAAGTACGACGTGAAAAATGTAAAGATCTGAGTAGTAGTCGTGAATGATTTTTCTCATTACCTTTCTGGACGCTGTAGCTGTTCCATCTGGGTGTCGGAGTCTAATCATCTTGGTCTAATAATTCACGAAGCTTCGGTTTGCTTTCGTAAAGCTTTTACTAGCCTCTGCCGCTTCGACCGTTACTGTTGCTCTTCTCTCTTTAACATCTTTTATCGCCTGTCTGCATTTTTTTTTGCAAGTTCGGACGTTAGGTCGCTGTTGCCTGCAGCTCGTGCGATTCCACGTTGGCATATCAGCTCGAGTGTTTCTGCAGACGTCTCTTGGTGACTTTCAAACTCTGAGCTTTCATAGCGCTAGCATGAAGATGTTGAATGAGCCGATTGTATTCTTCGTCGAAGTTGTCGACAACGGCATCTTCCCAACTGCCGACTGATGAATTGAATAAGTCTCAGTTCACGGTAGTTCAGGGGCTTCGGTTTTGGAATTTAGCGGCTTTTTCTCCCTCCCGCGAGAAATAGGACCTTGCACGAAGGAGACGGTGGTCTGATCCCGTGTAGAATTTCAGGACAACAGCGACATCAATTATGCAAAGCCTTCTATTTACTATGGTGTGGTCTATTTCGTCATGGTACTCTCCATTGGGAGACTCTCACGTCCATTGCTGAGCGTGGGGCTTCTGGGTTTGCGAGTTACTATGGATTGTTGTGGTCGCCGTGATAAACTCAGATAGCCGATCACCCTGTTCGTTCTATTCTAATCTGTGGGTTCCAGTGTGACGTTTTTCAGACTTTCTTCTTGGTCCAATGTTGGCGTTAAAATCACCAGTGATGACTTTGAGCAATGTGTGCTGTTTTCTATGGGACTTCTCCAAGTTCATATAGAACGCTTTGGCTTCTTCTTCGTCATAGTTTGATGTCGGCGCGTAAACTACGAAGATTGTCAAAGCCGGAATTATTCTAAAACTTTTTAATCGTAAACGTCCGATTCGGGTTGTAAGTTGTTCGAATAAATCGATGTTCACCGACAAACTCGTGTTGACGAGAACGCCGACGCTGCCGACTCCTCTACTGTCGCATGTTCCGAAGAACAGTTCTTCTCTGGTGTCATAGACGGCGTTGAAAGTCTGGCATCTCCCCGTCTCGGCCAGGCTGATGACGTCGTACCTTATCCTTCTTGTTTGCATGAGCAAGTCTTTTATCGAGGACTCGGATGCAAGTGTACGTGCATTGTACGTACAGATCATAACCATATTTCTTCGTGATCCAGGCTGCTTCCATTGGCCCTGAGATTTTAACAGCCTTTCCGTACTCGTCCTACCCAATCCTGCGAAATTGGAGACGCTTTGCGGTCAGGGAAATGAGGCTCGCTTTTTTTTTTTACTGTGTTTAGTATTTTTGATACGCACGTATAGCTTGCAGGTCTCCGAACGGGGGAATGGGTATGCTCACGGGTAGCTTGCCAGACTCTCCCAGACTGGGCATGGAGCTTATTTGTTGGAGGCGACTCCTACCCGCCTCCCCTCCCTTCCCATTCACTTGATTGCAGGTTTCTGGACGCACCCATCCACGCATGGGTGAATACGCCTAGCAAATACAGAAAGTATGTGAAAAATCAGCGAAAACAGGAAGTCCATTCGCTGGATCCACCTGCACCTCGGAGATGGAAAGATCGCTTTTGGTCCTCGATTAACCCCCTCTCCGCCACCTGGGGGCGCGCCACGTAGCATCGCGACTAGCCGGCTCGAGATCCCTCATATGAGAGAGATCCGTGGTCGTCATCCCAGCGAGGGATGCTTCGCAATATGTGCTCTGTAGTAACTTGTGTACATTTTATAATAACAACTGTGTAGCTGGTCGTTGTTTGCACCATTCCGTGCTGACACTCGTCAGGCTTCTGGTGTTTTCCCTCAATTTCTTCCGTATTTAGTGTCTCAAATGCGTGTTGCTACAGTTGCGACGCGAATACCTTTAACGGGATTGATGTCGAGAGTAAGAGAACTGGTCGGGTGCGATCTACACTCAGAGTTCAGATGCGGTTTTTTCGCATTTTGTTGTTGGCGTAGATGATGAAAACCCAATGTTGTTCTGCTTAACATTAGGCAAGAGTGATGCCGAGATATTGGCAAAACTCCGGAACGTAGGTATCTGCCGTGGCCAACGAACGCGTTATTCCCCTTTCCGAGGTCTAAGGCGTCCACCATCAGGCCATGCGGGTCTTCCGTTTCGCCTCTCTCTCAGCTAGTTACATGCAAGGCTACCAAGGCTTTTGAAAAAGTGCAGAGTATCGTTTAGGCGGCATTGGTTAAAGTTGTTTAGGAAGAACTCTTCTTTTCTTGAGCGATTTTGTTGGAGTGGTCACCATTTTATGCTTACTATTTACTCCAATTCAGCAGATTGTGCCACCCAAACTTTCGAAGCGTGGAGCGATTGAGTGAGTAAAACTGGGTGGCATGCATAGGATTCGAACAAGCTACAGGTACGAGGACAGAGGCCTTTGCTGTTTCCTTTTTCCTCGTACAACTTGTCGCTACGTTGATTTCATGAATTGTACTTTGGCGATGCGATTTTAATGCTAAGTGGGTTGAGATCCATTCTGTTTCTACTGGTACTTTACCTCTTCTCTCACAGTGTTGTAATATTCCGTCGAATTCTAGTTTACTGTAAAAGTATCGTTGCTTTTCCCATAAAAGTATGTTATTTTAATGGATTGCATTTAGAGGACAGTACCCATATGACTTCACTGCGTTGCAAACAATTTTCGTATGCGACGAATGTTCCTCGTATTTCGAAAACCAAGCAACACACTTAAGCCACATGGTGATTTTTCAACATTTTTTCATTGATTACCAATTTTTTAAGCAAATGTTTAGAAGTAAATTCGTTTGCAAAGTTCTGGACATTTTCTCGGTAAAAGTGGGATGGTTAGCTTGCGGTATTACAATAACTTCGAGTTATACAGCAGCTTGACTCCTACGAACACTCCTTGGCCTCGAAAAGCGATAACCGTTCCACTGAGAAGAATGTCTTTAATTCAAAAAAAAACTTTTCTTTATTACTATCTCTGGACTTGAGTAATTGACATTTATTATGACTTATAGAATTTACAATGTCATCTTTTCATCACAGAACAAGTGTTCGTATATGTCTGCTCCACCTGGGAAAGACGCGTATCGTGACGAAGCAAACAATGTCTCGGTATTCGAAGTGTATGGCACAACAGAAAAGGTATGTTTTCTTCGAAAGCATCTTCTGTTCTCTTGTTCGGTAGGAATTTTTGATCAGCCAAATGTCAGTTAGTTTCAACAATTCTTCGGAGCAGTGGAATTGGATACGAACATTGTTTTAGACGCATTGTTTTAATCTCAACCTACTGACTACGCTATGGATCGATAGCAAGGTCAGTGAGATTTATCGATAATTAGATGAAGTCTGGTGATGGCCGTATGTCTAAGGTGCTCTTTGTTGAAATTGAACTGTTCCTCTTCTGTGTTCTCGAGACATTTAGTAATGGTGGTTTTCGACAGCTGGGGTACTTCAGTCGGGTGAGTGTCTTTTTGACAAACTTATCTGATCTGTCGAAAGTGGTCATCGTCAGTTTTCTGTTTTAGCAGGAGGATTTCGTCGCCAACAATCTCTCCAGTTTTTGCATATTTCCATGCCATCGGCGACGAGGATATGGAACGTTCTTAATCGACCTTAGCATGTCCGCTTTGCAATTATTTTTTTCCCATTTTGCATTTCACATTAATTAAAGGGGCTTGGATGGCATAGTGGCAGAGATGGCGTTCAATAATGCTCCTATGAGCTAAAGCCATGACACGAGTCAACTGTTCCCACTGTTCCTCCCATCGCTCCGAGCTCGGGAAATTAGTACCAAACTTGTTTCTGAATAGTTAGCTCCATCTAATCTGTGAAAGTTGATGACCGTCTTTGCTGAAGAGCTGGGAATGCCCGAAAAGCTTTTTTTCATGTAGTCTTTGTCGTTCATGATGCGAAAAAGTTCGCTTATTCATATTCCTTTTGTGTTACCTGGTCTCCAGGTTACTTCAAATCCTGAGTGGTCCTGAGAGGCCATTGTCGGCTCAAGGCCGTCGTGTGTAATAAGGAATGGTAACAAAAGTTGACTGACTCGATCTACAAAAGATGGTGGATTTTGGCTGCAAGGATTTCCATTTAAAAATTGGAGGTAATATTTATATTCCGTGACTTTGCGGTAACCATGTTGTTCACTTCACAAATATCACATTGCAGATCTTGTCAAATGAACAGGAATTCAGAAAAAAGATGTACTACAAGCGATTATGGGCTCACGCATTTATAAGCTGCCAAGGTTTTTTTCTCATTCCCTGGTCAGATTCGCGAAGCTGCACTGTTCATTTATTCCTCTTCTGTTTTAGGAGAGGCACCCTTCTTACTATACGAAAAGGATGTGGTGTAGCAATGGAAATGGAGAAGCACATGGCTAAAGTAATGCAGTTCAGATTATTAGCTAGCGAAGACGTACTGGAACCAGCGTTTAAGGCGCTTTTGAGTGCAGTACAGAGTTATGAGGAATTTCTCGGGTTCTTATATTCAGCCGATGGATACACGCTTATGGTGGGTTTATTGTAGTATCAAGCGAACCAACTAGCAGCCAGATAACACAAACAAGTCGATTTATTTTCGTCCCGTGTGCCTAGACGGAAGGAGATACACTATGATTCTATTGCCTGTCCGCTATGTTTTATATAAGTCCCGAATGACTTAAGCTTACCTAATCAAAGTCTCCACTTTTCATATCAGCAAAAAAGTGGTGCAGTCGGTTCCGCTCGTTCGCGAGAGTTCGATAAAAGTCTGACCGCTCTAGTCTACCCGCTCACGCGGTATTCCAAAATGTATACTACGGCATCAAGAATAATAGAATCAATACTCAATCAGTGAAAAACGTAAACGCATGACCAATAGTCTTTTATTCTTTTTTCTTCATTACATTTTTGATGGACTTCGCTTTTCTACAAGCGCTGTGCAAACGCCCCGGTGATAACTTGGCTAGTGTATAACGTTACAAAATTGGTTTCATCCGCAAATCGAGGATGAAGCCTCCGGCCATCGATTTGCACTCCCATGTTGACTCACTCTCATGTCGACCCACCCAGAGCCACCTCTGCCTCTGGGACAAAAACGAGGTCGCTTTTAATCTTGCTTCATCTTCTTATCCGCCACCTAAAACTCATCATTTACTGAAATGCGCCTGATAGACATTCCTGTATGAAAAGTCTTAGAAAATAACGTTGAGCTGTAAGAATTTCATGTTCGCAGTTGGTTAGGTATATTGAAAATTCCTGACAGCTTCTTTATTCCTTGTGTTGTAGAAACACCTCCCAGCTCATGCACGACAGAGTTACTGACGGTTTTCAGGAGTCACGGATCTTTGACCAGCTAAGTAGGCTTAGCTCTTAGACTAGATGATTGCTGCTAGAATCTACAGTGCTCTGTTGAAAAGTTTGATTTCTTTCGTTATTCCGCTGTTCTTGTTTCTTTTGCGATTGTTATTGTAATTTTTCTTCTCTTGGTGGTGCTTTAGGTTCATGAACTTCATCAACTTCCATTTTCTAGTGATATATTTTTATTGTAACCACTCCTCATCCATTGTTTTTTTTCAATATTTTTTCAAGAAGATCGCCACGTTGTTTCGTGTTGATGCATGCTTATTCTTTTCTCATATCAAAATGAAGTGGAATGTTAAGTATACATATTATTCTCCTTGTGTCGAACCGTCTGTTAGTATGTTTCATAAATGTTGATATCATAAAAACATAAGTACTGTTAGAAGGAGCTTGATTCACGTCAATCGTCTGAGCTCTTTTGACACCATCGATGAGCCATCGCTAACGGTGCAGTTAGCCATATCAAAACCAAAGACGTCAATTAACATTTAAAAGCGAAATTTTGGAAATTTGGTAATTCGAAAGTCGGAAAAAGAATGGAGGTGCTCAGAAGGTGTATAAGAGCTTATTTCGAAAGTACTGCAAGAGAAGGAAAGAATTTCAACTTTAAAACGTCCTTAATGAGATAAGAGAACTTGAATGACATGATGAATCAGTCCGTGGTGTTCAATGCGCTTCGCCGATATTGAAATATCAGGCGCCTTCGCGAATGTCTTGAAACCATTCACGAAATACCAATAGTGGACAATCACCTCATTATTAACTGTTCCGAGATGGCAAACAACTTGACCATCAAAAATTTATCCACATAATAGGGTGTCGCACGTGGAACAGTTTTACATGTGCTCGACCCAGTTAGGAGTGAACCTTCACCAGCAGCAATCACCGTCATAGAAAACAAATTGTCACAAGCTGTAAAGACTTCATTTAATCTAAAAAACCGAGAAACGTCAATGCTAAAACGAAACAAGAAATGGTTCGCAAAACTTCTATTGCCACATGATTTTAAAAATTCAGCTCTAAAGAGTGCACTGTTACTCGGAAATGTAACATATTATCATCAATGAAATACTTCATCAAAAATAGCGCTATAAAGACATGACCGAGTTGCTTTGCACTATTTCCACCATTTTACTCGACTAAATCAAAAGTTCACCATATCGCTGGAAATACCAATTATATCGTGAAATCCTAAGCTTGAAGTCGAAGCGACGGTCACAGTAAAATATAAACTAATGTTGTGTTATACCATTTTATTAACGGCCTAGAGTACGTTTACCTCTGCTTCATAAACAGAGGTTGAAAATTGAAATTTCTGAAGAAGCTGTTAAGTTAAAAAGGAAAAATTCTGCGTTGTGATATCTACTCATTTTCTTCCCAGTAATTCATTTTGCCTGATAGTTCTTTTTCCCCTGCACCTTTTGTATATACCAACAATTCAACCAGTAGAGAGCAGTGCGTTAGGCATTAGACAAAAAAGTTATTTTTTACCCTTAGTAATATGTGGGAAAGCTTGAGAGAAACGCGTTACCCACCCATGTAAACTCTGAGTGGTTGGTCTCTATTAACAATAGAAATAAGTGGAAGACCATGAAAACGGTGAGTGTCTAAAGAAGTTGTTTCCAATGCTATTTAAGCTTAGGCAGCAGGTTTTTCTGCTAAGGGTGCGGAAGCAGCCTTGACCAGATTGCTCATCAGCTAAACCTGCCCAGATTTTGAATAAACAGAAACCCATCGAAACATTAGCTATCGTAGGTAAACCTTGCAGTAATAAACTCATGTCCGTTCATCAAGAAAACAATGAATCACTGCAACAGAGCCTTTCGGACAAGTTTGTGTCTTCAAACCACACACTATTATTGTTTACTAGTGTAAAAAGTAGTGAAAGTATTACAAATTGAAGGTGTTTTAACGTTCGCTGGCATTTTCCACGAATAGAATAGAACAAAAACTGATGCTAATGAGGAAGGAATGATTCATTTGTGGAGTAGGCACAGCAGCAGACGTGGATTGGATTCAATTCAACGACTGGCGTCGCATCGCACGCATATCGGTTGTACTCTAGACGTTAAAGAATTTTTGGTACAGATGCATCCCCGATTCTCATGTATATTGGCATGCACATTGCACATGAAAATACTCTCGGTAGAGAACTTCACTCTAAAATTAAAGCTAAGGACTGAAAGTAAACACTGTAGGAAATCACTGGTTTTTGCCAACACTGCACTTGCACGACAAACTGCAGCGTTTCTGGTGACGAAAACAAAGGCTACTTCAACGTTGGTTACATCCAGCGAATAGTACTCGTTACTACACTATTTTACTACAGCATCAATCAGCATAGTGATAATCAGAATGAAGATTCGAGATTTCTGGAAGACCTCTCACCATGAAATAAAATGCGACAGCAACAAATTGTATTATTGAATGGAAAAAAAGATCATGTAAGCGGACTAGCTGAACTCACCTATCAAATTGTAAATAATGAGAATATAACATTTAAAAAAATTGATACATAAAAGTGACCTAACGTATAACTAACAATGGAAGCGATAACATGAAGCATACGACGACGGCTACCAAATACTTTGATGTCCGAAATCACGCCTATTCTTCCGATCCAAAGGAGTATCCGGAGCAGCGACTCGTCGCAGTTCTGCTGTGGCATTCCCGTGAAGAAGTACAGCAACTGAATCCTTACCGGTCGATTTCTGCGGTGTTCTCTGATACAAGTAGTTTTATTCCAAGGAAATACTAGAGAATGGCGCCTTGTAAATCAAACGACAATAGCAATTTTATACGGAATTCGTAAGAGCAGATAACGTTCCTGAATTTGAAATAGACCATCAGCTGCTATATACTGAATAGAGCCACTGCTGTTTCGGTTCTCGGCTTAATATAGCATGCACGCTAGTAAGATGTCTTAACAACAACTGAACAATAATTAAAGAGTTTGCTTTGTAAGCTACCTCAACATACGGCCTGTTCGTCATTGAGCCAAGTTTATCGCTATAACATCCACCTCCACTCTTATCATTGCGTTCCGCTGGCACTTTCCCTTCAAAAAATTCAGGAAAAACGACGAAATTTGTAGACTGCCATACTGAAACGATCGCAAAATATTACAAAATGTGGCCTATATTGACATTACTGCAACGATAAAAACCCTCTTACCCCTGTTGAGGAAGGAAAAGCAGAAGAATACGGAGGATACAGCTTTGCTCAGTGTTCATTTATTGGAATAAAGTCCCCTACATAGAACAACTACATTTGTAACCAACCTGGCTTCTTTAAATCGTAGAACTTCGTCAAAAATTGTAAAAACGCATCTGACGGTCGATCAATCGCTATTGAAGTAGCAGATATTGATTCTTGCTGTAAATAAGATGCATCTAATTTAAGGCAAGGAAAAGGAAAAATGAAGAACCATTCGATGAATCGGACTTTCTTGTCACAAGGATATAAAAATTTTACAAGTGGTGGTTGATTGGCTAAGTTTCAGAGGATATGCTTGCACTACGCAGGAGGTCGCATATGAAAGTGAAAACCATTTTGGAAAAATCATTAAACATTGTGTGATATTACTAGTAATCAGAGTTTGCGTTAACAGAGCTGGATGAGAACGAAGTCCAATTAGCAATTTTTAAACCACAAAAGACTGAATACAGAATGTTGGCCTACATCCTAAGTATCGCCGCGTGTGGCGTTGTGGTCGGAGGCGCCCTGCAACAAGCACATGGAATCGATCCCCACGCCTATGGCCCACCGAGCCTTTCGTCTCTTCGGCGTCGGCAAATTGCTACCGGACTTGTCTGGGAGGAAAACAGCACTGGCTCGATATATTGGTGGGCCACTGTGAGTCATTGTAAAGGTCAGATATACATTCAATCACTTCCAAACGATGCTTAATGAAGTCGAATGTATGGCGCATCCCTCAAGGATTGACCAACGCCGAGAGCTTTATCCTTTTTTATTTTTATCCTAAGCTTCACCATTGACGAAACTAGTTTTCATATTACAGAAGTTTTAAACTAACCTTAAGCATATAATCGAACAGTTGATGTCCATTTCCTCTTCGCTGGACTGAACTATGCACATAAAAGTCAAGGATACATAATGGTTCTTCTTCGAATTTTCTTTGGTTTTCATCTAACAGATACAAATGTTTTCTGCCCACTTTCAGCATGCCAATAACGATGCTGAATGATCTATAAGGCAAAAGTCAGTTGTTGAAAAATTAAAAAAACACAAAACACTGCGATAAGAAAAAAGGAACAACTGCATATGCTGTTACGATCATCTGATGTACCACTCTCGCTACTTATTTGAAAAACCATCTTTCAAGGCGTACAGACCAAAATGAAGCCATCACTTTCTGGAGCAAAGTTTTTCAAGACAATGGACAATTGGTTCGATATATAACCAGTACACGAAACAGTAGCCAATACAGAATCGGCAGTTCACAACTTCTTTTACAAAAAAAAAACAAACCATGAAACTTTGCGCCGAACAAAAAGAGAATACTTTCATTTCGAATCGCTTACGTCATTGTCGGATGACGTTGCCACATCAGGTAAATAATCTGATCTTCAGCATGATTCAGAACTTTTTCGTATGTGGTCAAAATTCGCTTCAAACCTTGAGCCTGCAAAAAGGTACAAATAAATGAAACGATCTAAACACTGATCAAAATGTATATTTTTAGCAAGAAGCAACTGTGTGCTTACAAATTAACTGCTAAAATTACACCGAAATGTGATGAACTCAATTCCCAAAACCTTGCAGGTAGAAGAAAAACTCACGAAAACTGCATATAGTACTCACATACATTTTCACTGGATTGTTCTCAACCATATAGTACTTTGTACTCTCAGTATAGAAGTTCTTCGAAAAACATTGGTGGACAGAAAATTAATGAGCAATTTTGGAAAAATTCCTTTTCTTCAATTTTAAATGGCTCTTAGCGCTGTTATATTCCACCAGACAGTGAATTTGAAGTTATATAATTTGGACCTTATTTTGTCTAATATTCATTTATCCCTCTACAAAAAAGATTGCCCACACGGCAAGCACATCGATAAACTTCTAGACGCCGCTGTTCTGGAAGAAAACCGTCCAGTTACTGTCATAACGCTTCGCTCAATGAACTGAGCGATATGACAGTCATAATGAAGAACGAAATAGTTACCTTGCAAAAAAAATAACGCAAAAGGATTATCTCTGTCCAGTCCAGCACATTTTTATTAGGAGAAACGTTAGGCGTAAGAAACACAACTGTTAGACATACCGATGTGTTGTTTGTTTTGTTTTTGTGTTTGTTTGTTTGTTGGTTCGATTTTATCATAGGCCATCCAAAACTCCCACCCCTCCCAGACTGATAAATTTGCGTCAGACGTTTTAGCAGAAAACTCGTATCTAATCCAGAAAGGTCAGCGACTACTTCTGGAATCCTGGCGATTCCAGTGAGAATCAATTCGACCAGCAGTCAACTGCATTTATGAAGAACACAAAACCTGCAGGTGGCAATCGAACCTATTTGTAAATTCAAAGATATTCACAGAGGACGGATGCGCCATAACTAATCTAATGAAATAGTTGCTGGGATACGCACAACATGTGAAGCAGCTTCATTAAAAAACGAGACCAGCTAAGACACAGAAGTACGTTCTAGAAATGGTCTCAAGACTTGGAAAAAAAAACGGAAAACTGAAGAGCACTTTTAGCATACAATAAAACTACAGTCATAATCTACCACAAGTTCTTAGAGGATTCGATTAGCAGACACTTAACTCCTTTTAGGAGTTACCAAAAGTACGAAGTAAAATAACGGCTCATATCATTTCGAAAATGTATTTATTCATCAAATATCACGTTAAGAAGACAGAATTTTAGATAAGGAAAGAAATATTGAATTAAGGATCTTCCTTGACAAGTTCCAGAATCTACAACGACAGGAGTTAAAGATGTCTACAACGCTATCGCAGAAAGCAGTACATTAATTGGTACAGATTCCCTAAGGACAATTAATCATTTCAACGCCGGAACATCCATTTAGTTCTTGAAATCTCACCAAATAACAGCGAATAGGTATCGAGAAAAAGCCGTACACTACGAACGAATATCACAAGCAAAGTGTTCACGTATTCGTTCTTTGACAGTGATACACCTTAAGCGACATTAAGGTTATGATTAAAATAGATCATGTTCAACTGTTCATATTAAGACAAATGTAGTGGCAAGTACAAACCACACACGACGGAATTTGAAAAATCCACGAGTAATAACTATCTACAGATCCCCAAGACCGACTTTCTGTTAACCTCGGCATTGATTGAAAATTCGATGTATTTCTTTAATAAGCAGACACGAGGTTGTTATTATAGACTTTATTAGGATACAATGGCTGACGTTTCGGTGGATCTATTGAAAAGGATTTCAGAAGTCAAAATCGAAAACTGAACAACGAATGGGTCAAAATGGCAAGGCAAGCGCAGCAGGTTTAAAACCAACAGACATTTCGCATCTTAAGATCGAAGTGTCGACATGTCCCGTCTTATACTTACTTATCAAGACCCCATAAGTTAATATCTGTTGATGATCTCGCGTCTACCGACTCCTCTACCTTTAAAGTTAGACCAGTCATCAGTTGTGTAGACGGACCTACGGATAGAATTGCTTGGTTTATAAACCTAATCCTCAACCAGTTGCTTAAGCACATACCAGCCCATCTCACGAACACCCAAATGTTCCTAGACCGTCTGCGCAACGCACGACCCAAAAAGCGCGTACGTTATGGAGTCGCTCGACGCTACCGCCCTTTACGCTGAAGTGTCGAACGACTCTGCAATGCAAGCCATCCGCGAGCTTCTTGAGCAACACGAAGGAGCAATTAACATGTATGGCTTTTGGATTCAGCAGCTATGATCCTCCTAAAGGTCTGTTTAAACTGCTCGATCTTCAGATGGTCCGGGAAATATTACGCACAAATTAGAGGGTTGGCAATGGGACAGCGACTGGCACCAACCGTTGCCTTCATGTCTAAAGTGGAAGCACCAGTAATCGATCTCAGGCCATTACTCTACTGTAGGAATATAGATGATTGTTTTGTCACCTGTTCCACTCAAGAGGAGATGGACAAATGCTTTGAGTTATTGAACGAACAGTCAGGGTACATAAAATTCACCCTTGAGAAACCAAAAAAAAACTGGCTTCCATTTTTAAACGTTTAAATCAACCTATCCGAAAACGGCTACAACACAAAATGGTATCGAAAGCCAAACAGTAAGAATATAGTGGTTCATTACCTCTCCTTTCATCCCTCACACACTAAAAGGGTGCTTATGAGATATATGTTTCGAACCGCCATCAACGTGTGCATGCACAGATAGAGATCAGAGGGAAGAATCCTCGAAAATGGCGCGCCCCATTTCAAATGGCTACGAAACTGTAGCTTCTCGGCATAGGCATAGAGGAAAACCCACGCCCCAGAGCGATAATTCTAGCGAAAATAAGGCTCCGTTCATCTTGCCCTTTATTTCAAACGAAATGAGTGCAGCTATAAAACGTTGCTTAATAAGGACCGTCCATGTATAATCAAAAACTGCATAATTTGTCCTAACGGTAGAGCCAGTGATTGCATGAATTCGGGTACAATCTATCTGATCTCTTGTAAAATGTGCGGGGACGAATACGTCGGCTAAACGGGTAGACCGCTCTGCGTTCGCATAAAAGAACACCTAGTCGGTAAACCTCAATTAAAACCAAACACTCCACTAAGCGCGCACAAGATGCAGGAACACAACGGAGAAGATTTTGAAGCAGGAGTCACTATCCTCACGCACGGATCGAAAAGATCAGCGCTTAAAACTCTTGAAGCGTTTTGGATCAATGCCAAAAATTCAAAAATGAACCGCAAGGAGTACTTTAGGCTGATTCAATGACCTGACACAGACACATTCCTCGCCCACGTATTACTCTGTGCGGCTACTATCCATCGACTAACTTAAGTACTTACAACAAATAAACGGTAGGTGTTTAAATGAAGCTGCTTCTTAAGCGAATGCAAATCGATTTGTCAAGTTTTATCTGCTAAGGTTACGAAAGTGTTTGGCTGAGTAGATCGCATCTCAACTTGACTTTTCCGGGCTCTGAAGAAGGCGAAACCGCCGAAACGTCAGCTATTGTATCCTAATAAATCCTATAATAACAACCTCGTGTCTGCTTATTGACGAAAAACATCGATTTATCTACAGATCCTTGGAAATTATTTATAGCACTTACCCTTTACATTTTCTGATCGGTAGCGATAATCTTAATGATGTGCATGATTTTGATACAAAGCTATTACTTTTCTCACCTATTTCATTTGTATATGTTTCAAGCAGTTGAAAACCGTTTCAATGATCCGCGAACACGCATCTCGCTTATTGCGGAGTCTCCAGACAGTGGCAAGGTAACGCAGTGTCTCCCACAACCGACTCTCTATTAACCTCGGCATCGATCAACGAAGTAATGGAGTGTATTTCCAAGTGTAAAATAGAGGATTAAACGGGGGCCGGAATCGATGCTGAGACATAGATTGACAGGGACATAAATTCTATGTTTCTGCTGATCCAGATTGAAAATATTTTCTGCGTTCGTAAGGACATAATTTTACCGCGTGTGCCAACATTGGTTGTCTCTGCACATTAGTTTAGATAAAAACTTAAAACCATATTAACGGGAAATACCTTAGAGGTGTAACGAAAAAGCTCCAACAAATCAACCTATGGTTATAAAGGCCAAAAAACGGCAAGATAGCTATGAATGAATCCAGCCCAGAAATTTGAGCTCAACAAGCTGCAAGTGGATACTAATCACCCAACACAGTAAAAATATCAAGTTTTATTCGCCGAGCCCGAAAGAGCCCAGCTTCTTCTCAGAATGAAGAAATGTTTAAATCTTAAGATCATTCTAAACTTTCTAAATCTAGAAGGGCTTTGGTGACGAACCGCACTTAAAACGCACATGCAGTAACAACTAACCAGGTTAGTAAGACATTTCTGGTTGAAAAAAAAAGAACATGAACCAATTACGGCTTCGATATTCGCTATCATCTAGGCCCAACATTAAGCCATGACAAGATCGTCACATCTATGCGGATTTGGAGGAGTTCTACAGAGAACATCATAATTTCTATAATATCATCATGGGCGACATTTACATCGAAATGTGGATCTAAAAGGACCTCCGAAAAGTTAGATATCGGAACCTATGCATCAAAATAGAATGAAGAAGTTCAGAGGCTGACTCAGTTTATCACAATGACCAACAGAATTCATAGTAATGCACAATATTGGAAGTCCGCTTTTAAACGATGAACGTGAGAGTCCCTCATTGAAGAGTATTACATGTATTGCCTGCCCTCCTATTGGCGGTTGAGTGGCTAGGGCTAGCGCTTACGAATTATTAATGTCTTTCGTGAAAGAGTAGCACGGTGGTTATTAACCACTTTACGAACTCGATTAGAGTCATATTTCCATAGGATCTTCGTGAAGAATACTGACCATCGAGTCGATGGTCTTCTTGCTGTGCATTTGACATCCCGAGGAGCGTAACTGCTAACGGCGCTTGTTCATCGGCTATCTTTCATAAACATGACATTCACAACATATTTAATTTTTGAAATTTTGTCGTGCATAACGACGTCTCTTATCCTCCGCTACCGACGTTGGTCGAACCTCCGGATTCTTCGGTTGCATGATACAGGATAATGTTAACCTCACCTTCTCAGTTGTACGTTAGACGATTTTCAGTGACATTTTATTCTGTTTTATCGATGCATACGTCAAGGAAGAGAGAGTCGCAGAATAGGA